TGGACTTTTTACATATCGTGGCGCTCACTGCTCTCACGGCTGCTCTTCATATGTTCTTGTACTTGTTGAACTTGCCACCACATGTTCGGCTGGAGGTGCACTCGTTGCTCCCCTCCATGTCGCCGCGGGCTGCGGCTGGGTGTGCGCGGTCGCTCTTGTCCCAAGCGCCTTCCCCCCATAACCATGTTGGCTCCTCCTCGTCGTCTCGGGCTGCGGCTGGGAGTGCGCGGTCTCTCCTGTCCCAAGCGCCTTCCCCCCACGTCCACGTTGGTTCCAGTGGTTGCCGCACCGGCACTTGAACTCGGCTCCTCTTCCCTGCCCTGGGCCATGACGACGTCGTCTTCATCATGTTGCTTGTCTCCCCCGTCTGGGTTGTGCGGCTGTGTGCTTGTAGTGGCCGAGTCAGTGCTCCCCCAGTCGACTTCCTCAACGTCGTGCTCTTTTCCCAAGTCGGCTTCAGTGGCTGCTTCTCCCCCTTGGCTTTGTGCTGGAGTCGCCTGCTTCGCCGTCTTCTTCTTGACTTTCCGCTGTCTTCGCATTTTCCTTCGGATCTGGCGCGCCTTTGTGAGTAGTGCACCAGCCTTCTGCGGGAAGCGGATCAGGTGGGCCCGCGTCTCGTCAGCGAGGGCGGGTAGGTATTTGTCCACTATTTTGGTGACCCTGTCCGCTGCTGTGGCTATCTTGCAGCGCGACTTGAAGCGGTCCCGGTACTTTCCGTACTCCCCGGCGTCCTTCTGGTTGAGCGGCTCGTTGGTCTCGGCGTCCATCCACACCCCATCATCTTCGTAGATCTCTCGCTTCCCCCATTTATCGAGAGGTCCAGGTAGAAAGTGGAGTCCCAATCCCCCTCGGGTCGTGAACCTGGTCATGTGTGAGAAAGGGACCTGCGGAGTTCTTCCATCCCCCGCTTCTTGTTGTGGAGGATCGCGTCCCTGCGTCACTGGTCGGCTCCCCGATCCCCTCTCACCGCTGCCGTGGAACCGACAGGCTGGGTCGGAACGTTCATGTACTTTTCGGAATCCCTGCTGGCAGATTCCAGAGCCCTGCCGACACAGGCGACATTGCTTCTTTCCTGTCTGCTGTTGCCTCTCCCCCCTGGGACCCATTGCTCCACTATACCACGGTAGTATTTCTTCACGGCGTCCCGGTAAGTCACGAACTTCCAGGCGTGGTTCTCCCCCACCCAGCCTGCTGGTTCGGTGAGCGAAGCGTCCCCAGAAAGCTGGAAAGGAGGATGGTGAAGAAGGTTGGGTCCCCCTCGGTTTGCAGGCCGAGGTAGATGTCCTTGCTGTCACTAGGTCACCGGGCAGCAGATAGCTCACGATCTTGCCGGTCACCTTTATTGCTCGTTCCTCCACGAAGGCTACTGGGGCCTCTTAAGTCCAATGGCGGCGGACGGTTGGTCTCAAGCACCGCTGGAACAACTGGGAAGGCTCTCTCGGAGGAACAGTCCGAGCTAACCCCCCAGCTGCCCCCCGATGCAAGGAGGTGACACACACCCCCAAGCAAAAGGTGCAGTACTTGAGCCTCTCTCTCTCTCTCTCTTGCTTGCTTGCACGGGATGTGGGTGCACGCACCCTGGCCCGAAGGCCTCTCTTTCTTTCGCACAGGTTGAGGTGGAGGATTGCCCCTCTACACTCCCTCTACCGCGCCTGCGTTCGCCCCCCGTTTGCAGCATCATTGGGGGCGAGGAAGTTTCATGCATGCCCACGGCTCTCCCTCTCTCTTGGATTCTCTTGGTTGCTTGCAATCGGAAAAAGGAGCGCGCGAGCACTCTCTGTGTTGCTTGCTTGCTCGGCGTTTGGGGCGGGAGGAAGCGGGTCCTCTCTCTCTCTGCCCTGCCATACACAGGCCCCAATATCAGGAGGCTTTGGGCGAACGCAGAACCTAGGCCATTCTTCGAGCCCACACGAAAACAGGACTCAGCTTGACTCAACAGCCACATTCTGGGTTGCCAGGCCGTCGACAAAACATTGGCATGCAGCTTTAAACACAGACTGAAGAGTTCCTGATATCAACATTCGGGCTGATTCCTACGAACGAAAAGGTTGCACCACGCGAAGGGAACCCCCACGACGGTCAGTCCTGCAATAACTAGGAGTGCTGCATCCATGACGGCAGCTCCGTTAAGCATCGTGGCCATGAGAATATCCTTGGGTGAAGGCAGTTCTGCCAACCAATTTGCCAGGCATGCACATCCTATCAGGATATATAATACGTGATATACAATATATGATGTCTACTATGGAAAATAATATCGGGAATGCCTCTGCGATCTTCTTAAAGCTGACGCAAAGCCTTGGACCCCGATGACGTTCTCTTGCATGACTTCCCCATGCAAATCCAAGGAACGTGTCCGGGGCAGTCCACAAACGAAACATGGCGAACCAGCCTGATCCAAACCAAACGGAAGTCCAGTGGAGTCCAGTCAACAGCTTGCGCGGACATGTCGTCGCGTCGGTTTTGTCTTAAGTGTGGAAAGTTGGGGGAGGGGGGGTAGAGACTCGGCATTAGACAATACATTCAAACTATTGGCACATTGCCCCTTAGCATGTTGTCACGTAGTGCGTCACGCAAGCTTCTAAGCCAGCAGGGGATGAAGAATCCACTGCTTCGAGTGGTCCCGCCTCATGTCGTCGACGACATCTGGCGTGGAACTGCCGGCAGACCAGTACGGATGGTCCTGCAAAGCTTTGTTTCTTCGTGCCTTTGCACATGTCATTTGGTCCGCAGGATTGCTGGGGCTTGCAGTCACGGGGGAACCTCCGGTCAGGGGGTCTCGAGACACAGTGATCTGTTCAAGCGGCGCCCCTGGTCCTGGTCACCTTCTCCAGGATCGCGCTTGTAGATCTTCGCATTTGCGTAGCCCAACTTGATGGTAATGTTACCTTGCACCAAGCACGCTGCTTTCTTGTTCGAAGCTGTCGCACGAAAGAATAAGCAAACAGTGACGCTCTGACGTCTGAGGTAAGCACAAACAGAAGTTTGAATCCTGACCCGGAAAAGCAGAACCCAAGTCACCCGAAGTCTGTGACAAGCGACGCTCTTTCTCCGCCTTGAATTTCACTGTGTGCGTGCCAGAAAGGCCTTTCACTACCTGGGCAAACGTTGAAACGAGCGCAAAAGCCAAGCAGGAGAGTTGGCTTGGCTTCAGAATCAAAGGAATCTCGCGCTGTGGCCTCATGCAGTCAAGCTGCAGTGGACTTTCCGTGGGCAACATGGCCGATTGTGCCAACCTTGGATGAATCTGTCGACCCCTTGACAGTCACTCAAAGGGGGCCTCTGCGTGAAACTGCTCATGCTTAACAAGAGGATCCGCCACACGTAATCCACTCTTCATGCTGACCTGAGGACATTCATCGTTGCCTGTCTGCTAATGACCTCCGGAGTCAGGGGCGTCAGCTTGGTGACCTGGGATGCGCACTTGCTCATCGGCGCTCACGTGCGCTGGCGTGTGCAGCCATTCAAGGCTGAGGCATGACCGTCCGTGCAAAACATGTCTTACGCTCTTGCTACCTTGCTGCAGGTTCAGAAGGGTTGCCAGTGCACATCCCGCATAAACCCCCTCTCGCCCGCTCTGTGCTCCTGGGTCTGTTCGGCCCAGGGCCGGGCCTAGACTCAAATGCTCTCTCATTGCTCGCTTGCAGTTTCCGAGTCCTTGTGCCCTGTGCTGCGGGCAACCCCATCTGGCTTTCAGTGCATGTTGGATGGGTCTTGGGTGCACTGCAGCAGCATTGGATCATAGCACAAGAAACCCCAACAGCACACTCTCTTCATCTATCGCTGTTTCTTCCCCCCTTTTGCTTGCTTGCTCGCTTGCTTGGGCCTAGGGGTTCTGGCTTGCGCCTATCCTCTTCCACGGTGCGAGCCCTCTGGATTCACGCACTGGGGGACTTCAGAGCAGAGCTGGGCTCTTTCTCTAATACTAACCTTTGCCTCCTGCATAGCTTTCGAGAACAACACTTCCATAATATGATGATCTAGCTCTCTCGCTTGCTTGCTTGCTGCGGGTCAAGGTCCAGTCTAGCTCTTCCTTGCTTGCTGAGGGGTTTGGGCCCCCGAAGGAACCCTGGCCCGAAGGCCTACCCCCGCAACGGTCCTCTCTCTCTTCTTCCCCGGGGCATGAGGGGTTGCTGAAGCCGCTCAGCCTCCTCGCTCTCTCTTCTTCCGTCGGGCATGAGGGGCTGTTAAGACGCTCTCTCTCTCTCTCTCTCTCGCTCTCTCTCTTTTCTTCTGCTCGGCCAGAGGGAAGGTCGCGACCCCCCCTCGCGCGTATTCGCGCACCGGGGAATTAAGTGCGGAGACAACGACAAGCTACGCCCAGGTTAGACTCACTGGCCAACACTAACCCCCAACCCGCCTCGTGGGCTAGGATTCTATAGCAGACCTACGGACGGCCTACGAGCTCCCCCGGAAGCTGGGGTCGGGGCGATTGTGCCCACTCCCTCTTATCACAGAAAAAACCAGGAACTCTACTGTCTCTCTCTCTCTCTCGCTGCTCTCCCGATCCGGCAGCCAGGAGGCATCAAGCGTAGTTAAATCCTGGACGGCCAAGCCATCTTTGGGGTCGACTTTGATGTCTGCCATGTCGCAAAATTTCCTGGGCCGTCAATCAGCGGAACTTCTGTGCTTTGCGTGGGAGTTGCCGCGAACCCTGTGGCATACATGCCCAGAAACACAAAGCTGACTCGCCCTCAAGTCTAGCAGAGTCTAGCAGCAGATGGACTCAGGTGCTCTGCACAGTCTTCGCGCCTCCGAAATCTACTCTGGTCCCACGATGCTTGAGCAAGAAAGCCAGTGGGACAGTTGCAGGACGAAGCTCGCACGTTCCAGCCCGCCCTCCACTGGCTTCACAACATGGGCACCCTCCCAAGCAATGCATCTCCCATCCGAACTACAATGTGAGGGAGGGCTTGAAATCAATTTTGAACACAACGGGCAAGTCTTGCCCGACCTTCCGATTCCATGTCTAACTTTGTGCGCAACGTTGAGACCAGTGCAGTGGACGGTCGACGCGAGGACACGACTGAAGGCCTCAGGTTGAGTCTCCTGCCGACGCTTCTCGTTACATTCATGTGCTACCTGTACGAGGAGCAGTCAATTGGGATGAAAGCACGACCTTTGTTGCTTGGCCATCCACTCCTATACTTGGCCACATCCAAGCCCGCAGCCGGCGAGAGCTCTCCCCGGGACGCGCCTGGATTGTCTCACTCTTGGTTCGTTCATCCTGTAATTGTCATCCATGCCGAACAACACAGAATTAAAATTCAGACGAGGTGAGAGAGACCCCGGACAGATCCTCGGATCCTATCGGGGAAACCAATTTACCCGATGCCATGAAGCTCGCAGGCTTCTCAACGGGTTGAATGCAGGGAGTGTGACTCAGGGCTGGGCCATCACAGGCGGAGAGATTTGTCGAATGCGTATGGAATGCAACCTGCATGCAGTCTTTAGCGGTTCCGGCTGAGAATTAGATTGCACTTCCAAACACGCACGACCGTCGGGCTTCACCGTGCAATACAGTAGTTTCGGGCTCGGTATGCCCACGTCTTTGGATGCCAAACTGACAAAGTTTAAAGTAAGACTTCTTCAGCCGAGGGGCTTCATGGTCCTGCTCGAGACCTCACTGCACACGTGCTGGTTGGACAAACAGTGCATACCTGTGCTTTTTCTGATCGGGCCATCTTCGAGCACTGAGGACATGATAATGGTGCTGCTTGGGGCTGGGGAAGTAGAAAGGAGGAGCATAGTCAAGTCGTTTCGTGCTGTCTGATATCAGCTGCCACTCTGCCTGAGGTTGGGGCCACCGAGGGGCGCTGCGGTCGCTGTGCCGAGGTGCTGGTGCGACTGCAATCGGCTTTAACTTCCCGCTTCCATGCCCAAAGGAGAAGGGAACGTTGCAAGACCGATGTGTCAGCGTGCAGCAGCCAAAGCCTGCTCCGAACTGTAGTAGACCTCTGCAGGCTGCAACAAAAATTGCATTCCGCTGCCGTGCAAGACTGGAGGACGGCATAGCAACTGGGGCGGAACACCTCATGGAATTTAAGGGGAACTTCCAGAAGAACCACTACAACCAGAAGGATGTGCAGAGCTCCGAGCGCGGACAGCCGAACTGGACGCCCGGCAGGCAAGATGGCCTGAGTCATTGTCCAAGAGGGCCCATGCCCAATGGAATCTGTTGCTTCTGGCTTGCAAACTGTGCAGAAGCAGCCTTTTTGTCAAGCAGTCGGAATGTTCGAAAACTTGTCGGGAACCTGGGGCAATGGAACTTGACAACGAGCGCGAGAACCCCCCACTGCACTCTACGCCAGATTTTCATGTGCATGGCAGCTTAATGTTGGATTTTGGAAGTGTCGAAACGCATTCATGACTTCTGGGTGCTTGATGGGCCCTCGCTGCCCTGAAACAGGCCCGACATGGCCGGCGTGTGCCCGCGCGCAAACCTTCACGACTTGAAACTGAAAGTCCAGAGGGCGGGCATGCAGAGCATCACACTCTCGGTGTGTCTAGGAACACGAGATGGAACGGTTCTGCGGCGTGGTTCTCCAGGCAACGTGGCCCAGTTAAACATTCCGGCCCTCAGCCCTGTTTGGGCCACACCGCTAGAGGCATCCACACAGAACACGAGCTTGCGGCCCAGGCACTCTGTGTGCCCAGTCGCATGAAAACACTCTGGTGGGTACTATTGGCCAGCCGCACCTTCAGACAAAGCAGCAAAGAGCATATGATATAGATATATATATATATATATATATATAATCTTGTTATATACATATATATATATATAAACACATGCGTGCATGCACTATTCCTACATTGGGTGAACGGCCAATGCCGAAGCTCGACCGGCCCTTAGCATGAGAACAGCACAGAGCCCGCAACAAGAGCCACTGCATTCAGAGACCTGGACCTTCTCAACTCCAAAATGTCAGTCGCTTTATCGGATCTCGAGCAAGCTCTGTGGCAAGAGAAATTGAGCTGGGCTCAACCATGCTCAACCTCTGGAACTGGAACTTGGGCGTTGCCCTCACGGCACCACGCACGCTCAGAGCGACTTGCGCAGCGCGATGACAGCACTAGTCATGGCGACCAAAGCAGAAGCGGCCACTGCGGGCTGTTCTTCAATCCAGCTGAAGAGCTTCGGACTGTAGGCCTTCGGAACCTGGCCCTGTCCCAATTGGTTCAGCTCCTCCTTGAGGCGTGTGGAGTGCATCGAGGCCTGAGATTTCGTCTCTTCGGTGGTGTGGCGGCTGAAGAACTCTGGGTCAGGCTCAAGCTCGGGCGCGAAGGAACGCTGCGAGCGCGGCGCCGCAGGCTCCACAAACTTCTGCACGCGCTCCATGATGCAGAGCCCGGGGCCATCGAAGCTTTGTGGTCGCTTCAGGCTGGAGGTCCCCGGCCCGCAGAGGTGCAAGCAGCCGTCCTGGAACTTGAAGATGTAGGGGATGGCCGGTGGCGGGCAGCTGCTTCCGCTTGGGAGCACTTCAATGTCCAGATGGCCCTTGGACGCATCCATGCGGAAGACAGCTGAGAGAGTCTGCCCCATGACGGTGACGTTCGCATGCAAGCAATCGTTGAGGAACTCGATACGCTGGCGATAGCCACCCAAGGCCTTAGCCACGTTGCCTTCCCAAACACCCACGATGCGAGCGTCGAAAGCCACGGCACCCACGGCCACCTGTTGCTGTGCAAAGGCGCCCAAATGCGACATGGTCTCCTTAGGTGTTGGGAGGGACTGGGAATCAGACTGGGAATCACTGGGAGAGAGTGGGTGGCATTCTAGATAGGGCAGGCCTGCAACTCTTTGGACATGGCAAGTATGCTTGACTCATCTCCGCAAAACGCTCTTGCAGATTCAGGCGAGTCTCCGCAGAAGTGAGAGTGTGGCCGAAGTAGTTGCTGGCCTCGTCGGTGACCTCCGGGGTGTTTCCAAGCATCGCCGATGCACCAAGCTTCGTGAGATCTGCGAGGTTTGCGACAATGCCATGGGATGAGCCCTCATCACTGCTGGGATTGGTAGTGGATCCCACAGAGCTTTGGCCTGCTTTGAACGTTGCGAAGTTCGTTGCGGCTGCAGGCTCCTCCTCGTTCAAGCTCTCGGGACTGGAGATCTGGAAGGCGGCCACCAGCTGCCTCTCCTTGCCCAAACTCAGCGCAGAGCGCGGCACCACGGAGAGGTGGAGCGTGGTGTTGAGCTTTTGACTGGACTTCTGCTGGATTTTGCTGTGCAGCACCTGAGCGATAGGAGGCATGGCTCCAGAGTCACAGCTCCACACTCCCTGTGTCGAGAGGGTTGCTGCATTGAAGGCCTGTGGGCAATCAGCCTGGCGCACCACATTCCGGACATAAGCTGAGAAGTCACTCTTCTGATCTTCTCCTGCCAAGAGGTCCTTGAGATTTGCACCAGAGACGCCGTATCCCAGGATCTTCTCCAGCTTCGTCATGTCGCCGGAATATTTATCCGGCAGCTTGCACCGGCCGGCTGCATCCAGCACGCAAGGAAGAATGATGTCAAAACTTCCTCTGAGAATGCTGATCATACCGACGTTGCTCACACTTACCTTTCGCAGCACGTCGGTCAGGGTCTTGTGGTATTCATCCGCTCGGATGAAGACGAAAGCCGCGCTGTAAGCGAGCTTGGCTCCGAAGGTCAAAGCAAAGAAGGACTTGCGCTCCGTGTGTGCGTCCATGACACCCATCACTGATGCCATGTAGACCACGCCATACAACAGAAGGTGCGCAACGAGGCCAGAAGACAGGAAGGGTCGTAGGCCGCGGCTTGGCAGATCTGCCGGAGCTGTGCGCTCATAGGCAGAGCACCAGTTCAGCATGTCATAAGAGGCCCAGGCATACATGGCAAAAGAAACCCCGATCAGAAACCACTTCAGGAAGGCGCTCTCAGTTGCCGTGGCCACCCAGCACAAGATCACATACACGTTGGTGACGATCAGTGGCCTCGACACCTCGCGCAAGGGACGCCCGAGCGTGCAGTAGCCGGACAGGATCAGCATTATCGGAACATTGATGCCCCACTCCATGTACTGCATCGTATACACCGGGCGACCGGGTGCGGTGAGGCCGTCCGCACTCGGCATGACATGCGCAATGGTCCACTCAGCACGTGAGAAGAGGCGCTCGGCCGTCGCAAGCACGCCAAACATCACAGCCAGCAGCAGGGTGGGCAAAAAGCGGCTCTGGAGGTGGGGCACCAAGGCTTGTGTCTCCTGGGCTCCCATATACGTCGCAATGAGGCTCAATACCTCGTGGCCCAGCATGGCTACCAATGCTGCCGCAGAGATGACGTGGTAGTACCCGGGGTAACTCTGCAAGTGCTTAGCGCATGCAGGCACTTCGTGGCAGCTTACGGGTGCAGCCACCAGCCAGGAGATCGCCCATGTCGCCAGGGTGACGGCCACCTGAATGCAGCAACTTCTGTTTAGCTGAAACCCTCCTTCCACCAGCAAATAATGGAGCTAAATGAAAGTTGTGCTACCACATGTTGGCTCCAGAATTGGGCCGCGGGGCCCAGATGCCAATGTTCGAAAGAAGGCCTTTGCCCGCCATGACGTCGCTCTGGAGAGTGGGGTGCGGCAGCTTAAGCCCAAATAGCTTCTGGTCATGCGGTGAAGTGATGTCACACATGTGTCACGAAGCAATCGTTCTCGGAGCACGTCGCGACCATGACGACATGCAGAACACTTAGCCGCACTGCCGGAAGGAAGTCTTGAAACGGGTCGACAGTGCCGCACGGGTAGGAAAATCCAGCGGCTGACGGGTTGCGCAGCGCAACATCAATTTGCAGGCATGTCTGAGTCAAGCAAACTATCTTCGTCCAAACAGATTTGCGGATGGGAAGACCAGCCAGACGTGCCCAAAGCCTCGCGATTGCGCTCGCAAGCGCTATCCTTATAAAACTTGAAACATGAGTCCGCTAGGGCTGGTGCGCATTGTGTCGCACTCTCTGTGTGCCCAGGAACTCGGCATGGAACAGCGGTGCAATATCCTTCTCTGTGATGTGACCAACTTCCCACCTATTCCACTGTTTTGCAGCCCTCTGCATCTACTGTAGATCATCTACAACAAGCCACACCGCTAAAGGCATCGTCGCAGAACATGCATTTGCGGTACAGGCGCGCTGCGCGCAGATTGTCGCATGGAAACACTCTCGTGGGTACTATTGGCCAGCCGCACCTTCGGACAAAGCAGCAGAGAGCACATGATATATATGTATATATATAAATATATATATATATATATATATATGAGAGAGGCTCCTTTAGGGTCCATTTGACGCATTCATTTAATTATATATATGAATATGAAATTAAATATTTTAAATAATTTAAATATTCTAAATAGTTTAAATATTTATATTGTTTAAATTATTTCCTTTCCAAAATAATTTAAACAATTTAAATAAATTAAATTCGGCTTATTTAAAATATTTAAATTATTTAAAATATGTTTCAAAAGAAATTTTTTCAAATAATTTAATAATTTAAATTATTTAAATTATTTCCTGTAAAAAATAGTTTAAATAATTTAAATAAATTAAATACAGCCTATTTAAATTATTTAAATTATTTAAATTATTTCCGTTAAAAAATAATCTAAATAATTTAAATACTTTGAATAGTTAGTTAGCTATCCTAAAACAACCTTTCCAGGACTATTTAAATAATTTACATAATTTAAATAATTTAAATAATTTACATATTTTAGATATTTAAATTATTTAAACTATTTCCTTTACAAAATAATTTAAATAATTTAAATAAATTAAATACGGCTTATTTAAATTATCTAAATTATTTAAAAAATTTAAATTATTTAAATTATTTAAATAGGGTGGAAACCTTCTAACCAAATGTGACAGCCGTATTTAAATTATTCAAATTATTTAAATTATTTCCTTTACAAAATAATTTAAATAATTTAAATAAATTAAATACGGCTTATTTAAATTATTTAAATTATTTAAAATATTTAAATTATTTATGCGTGGGGAATTGATCTCGATTATGTTGCTGCTCTCCCCACCAGAGCTGTAATGAATGTAGGTGTGGCTGGCTTGCACTCTCCACAGACTGGACCCTGTCTCTCTCACACTTCCACACGTGCAATCCTATGCAGGCAG